GTTGACAACGCTCATCGCCCTTCAGAGTGGTGATAAAAGTGCTAAAGGCCCATGCACCATAAAGCACACTCCTCCTGCTTCTCATCAGTGATATTAATATTCCTAAGATGCCATAAACAATGTCTGGGATTTGGATTTCAGCTCCATTGACAAAATGAGGCTAAAATGTTCTCTTCTACTTTGTTAAACAGGTCAAGTATTTAGGTCCGGTTGGGGACACGTACCCCCAGTTCCTATGCCTGTAGTTGAAAATAAAATAAATGAGCCAATGTTAAATTATAATTACTAAACTAACAAAAACAAACAGGCCTAATATAGATAACATATTTAATTGGAGCTGCTTGAGGGAGAAATACATTATCCTGGGCAAAATATGCTTCTATAGAGCTCCGGACGTCACGTGACTCTCAGGGAGTAGACGCCATGTTGGCAGGCAACAAAGGTAAACAAAATGAACGGGATCGGCTTGGATTTTACTTTGTAGGAGTTTACTTCACACTTTAAACCGAAGAAATCGTTTTATATAGTCAGAAATTAAATAGACTAAACATCTCTGACCCTTACCGTGCCCCTGGGATACTTTTTAAAAACGCCAGAAGCTGTCGGAGCGGACTTCTTACCGGACCTGGCCGGGGAACACCTTGGGATTTACCCGGAGGAGCTGCCCCAAGTGGCTGGGGAGAGGGAAATCTGGGCCTCTCAACTTAGGCTACTGCTCCCGCAACCCGACTCCGGATAAGCGGATGAAAATGGATGGATGGATGGACAAATAACAGATTTACATGTAAGTAGTTTAAATAGAGTGCTGTGCTGTTTGAATGTATAAACTGAACGCCAAGAGAAATCACTAGTTTGATTATTTTCCGTGAATAAAATAAATATGTCAGGCAGGAGCGTCTCAGGATCTGTCTGAGATCTGTCTCAGTGAGACAGATAATAGCAATCCAAAGTGCTTTTTATGTGTGATCTGACAATTGATCAACCATTGCTTAAAAATTAAATACAGCTTAGCCGGTTAATTGCCGTGATCATAAAACACGTAAACGGCAGCACGCAGAACTCACGACGCAACGTTTTACGTGATGTTTACTTGTTGCTGTGAGTAATAAGACAGAAAAAGCCACGCCAAAATAAGTTTAGGAAGCCCACTAAGAATCGTAATAAAAGCATTTAAAATAAATACCATACACAGTTGAGGAAACGTTGGTTTAAGTACCTGATATGAAGCGGTCGCTGCATAAGTGAAAACCTTTACTCTCGGGGTCACACAGCTTCATTTTAGCTCGGTCACTAGCACGTTTTATTACAATGATCCAACGTTTGCGGCGCTCCGGATCTTGGGGAATCCTGTAGATGGCTCATTCCTTATGTCGTCCGCGTCTGTTCTGCATCCTGGGGCACAACAGGAATCTACCATATTTCCCGTTTGATTGAGTTTTCTGACAATAACAAATAGTCCAGCTGCAGCCTTCTGCCTGCCAAGATGGCGCCGTTTCAATTTGAACTGTTGCACGCCGGGAGAAGTGACGTCAACTCCCGGAGCTCTATGTTCAGTTTATCAGAATTAAAGGTCAAGTGTGTGCATGCGACACACATCTGAGGGGGCATGGACTTAATTTGAGCGGCAATGCTGCCCCTTCTTGCCCCACCATAGAGTCGGCCTTGGCAAAGAAGCTTTTAAAAGCAAAGAGTAGATCCATTAACCCAGGATCACAGTAATCTTCACTGAAAGTAGCCTGCAGTTTAGCATCAGGGATTAACACAGTTAGGTTTTAAAGTGGGACAATTCAAAGATGGTGCGTGTGGAGAATATAACTTTTATCTTCACACATGCAGAAATGTAAAGTGTGTTTTTTCTGATTTTCTCTGTTTAGGACTGCAAGTGTACAGGGTCAGGAGAGGCTCACTGCTGCAACTTTACCCCAGCTTGTCCTCCTGGGCCCTAGGCCTTTTTCTTTGGGCCCTGGCTTCTCCCAATCAGGGGCCTTTGGAGTTTCGTGCCCCAAGTGTCAGTGATGGTTTGCGTTCCCCGAGCACAGCTACAGCTACAATCAAACCAGTTTGGATTGTAAACAAAGCAATGTTTGGTTTTTGATACATTAAGATAAAATAATACTTGAACTTTATTTTAGAAGAGCTGCCCTGTGTGAAAGTGCTGACAGGATGGAGGTTGTGAGTTCAAATTCCATTTAGGAAATTTAGTCAGTTGTTTTATTAATTCCAGGGGTTCTCGACTACATTTGTTCAAGTATTTTTTTCTCCAGCAGACACCAGAGAAGGTCAGATGCTCTTCTAAAATAAAGTTGAAATATCGTTGTATCTTAATTTATTACTATTTAAAATGGCCTTGTTTCCCATCTGGGCTGTTTGGTTGTGGTTTTAGTTGTGTTTGGAGAATGTGGACAGTTGTAGATTTTTGGGACATGAAACTGTAGAGGCCCCCAATCGGGGGGGGGGGGGGGGGGGGGGGGGGGGGGGTTAAACAGGTTAATGATATTAACAATACCTCCTAAACAGGGGGAGGAGCAGGAGAAGGAGACAGACACCAATTACTGCTCAGATCAGCACAGGACTGCGCTGTGAATAGATGCATTTTACTGGAGCTGGTATACTTGTAAAATAAATTAGTTTACTCTTCCTGCGTTTATTTTTATTTTTTTTATCGAGAGCGGGATTTTAAGTTCCCTCAGTCCAGAGGTGGACTGGCCATCTGGCATACCGGGTATTGCCCCCCCACCCCCACCCCACACCCCCACCCCCAATACACTCTACCACCATTCCAGAGAGGGAGTTACTATTCCACCTCCTCCTCCAGTTCCTAATCCATAGAAACCAGTGCCTCAAAATGTCAGCTCAGAATTAGTTTGATCAGCTCCTGAACCACTACATAAACTTTGAGAACTTCGGGCATGCCGTGGTGGCGCTCTACTGGATCTTCACAGGAGACAACTGGGCCAACATCCGGAAGGTATGGTTTAAACTCACACGTGTGTTACGCGATGTTGACTCTGCCCGCTCACGCTTGCCCACCAGAGAATGATCTCTTGTGTAATGCAGGATGCTAGCAGAGAGTGACCTGGACACCTCCTGCAGAAGCAGTATCATTTGGATCACACTGATCTATTCCATTATCCTATTCATTAATTTTGCCAGCAATAAGAGAGGAAAGAGCAAAGGGTAACTATGCCATGATCTGTTAGGTCAAACAGGTCAAAAAGGCCAAAAAGAGACAATATTGCAAATTCCTAATGGATTTATCTTAAATTTGATTAGTTTTGTTATCTTTAAGTTTTGTGAGCACGGCCTTGTTAAGGATGGTGTTAGCAGGTTGGTGTTAGCAGGTTGGTTTTAGCAGGTTGGTGTTGGTTGTGTTAACAGGTTGGTGTTAGCAGGTTGGTGTTGGTTGTGTTAACAGGTTGGTGTTAGCAGGTTGGTGTTGGTTGTGTTAACAGGTTGGTGTTAGCAGGTTGGTGTTGGTTGTGTTAGCAGGTTGGTGTTAGCAGGTTGGTGTTGGTTGTGTTAGCAGGTTGGTGTTGGTTGTGTTAGCAGTTTGGTGTTGATTGTGTTAACAGGTTGGTGTTAGCAGGTTGGTGTTGGTTGTGTTAACAGGTTGGTGTTAGCAGGTTGGTGTTGGTTGTGTTAACAGGTTGGTGTTAGCAGGTTGGTGTTGGTTGTGTTAGCAGGTTGGTGTTAGCAGGTTGGTGTTGGTTGTGTTAGCAGGTTAGTGTTAGCAGGTTGGTGTTGGTTGTGTTAGCAGGTTGGTGTTGGTTGTGTTAGCAGGTTAGTGTTGGTTGTGTTAGCAGGTGAGTGTTGGTTGTGTTAACAGGTTGGTATTAGCAGATTGTTTTAGCAGGCTGGTGTTAGCGGGTTGGTGTTGGTGTGTTAGCAGGTTGGTGTTAGCAGGTGGTGTTAGCAGGTTGTGTTAGCAGGTTGGTGTTGGTTGTGTTAGCAGGTTGGTGTTAGCAGATTGTGTTAGCAGGTTGGTGTTAGCAGGTTGGAGTTAGCAGGTTGTGTTGGTTGTGTTAGCAGGTTGGTGTTAGCACGTTGGTGTTGGTTGTGTTAGCAAGTTGTGTTGGTTGTGTTAGCAGGTTGGTGTTCGTTGTGTTAGCAGGTTGGTGTTAGCACGTTGGTGTTGGTTGTGTTAGCAGGTTGGTGTTAGCAGGTTGGTGTTCAAAGGTTTGAAAACAAGAAGCAGAAGTTTGAAACTGATTCTGAACTAAACGGGCAACCAATTGAGTGATTTAAGAATGGGTGTAATTTATATAGCGCCTCTCGAGATAAAAATCATGAGGCGCTTCACAAGAACAAAAAATTCAATAAACAAAAAATCTTCAAAAAAATTCATTAATAAATTTGGTTAAAATTTGAAGAAAAATATAGTTAAGAATTGTTATTAAAATGTAAGGAAAAGGAAAGGGAAAATGAATAGGAAAGAGGGAAATCAGTGGATCCTGGGAAAAGTGGAATAGGTAGAAAGAGGAGAACAAGGGGAGGGTGGTGATGAAGGTCCCACCCGCATGAACAGGTGAGTTTTCAGCTGCTTTTTAAAGGAGACCACTGAGTCCACTGATCCCAGGCTGAGAGAGGTCCAGAGTCTGGGGGCCACAGCAGCAAATGATCTGTCACCTTTGGTCTTTGTATAACATTCATTACATAATGGCACTCTCAAAGCAAAGGACTGTAACGAGGCCTGCTGATGAAGATGAAGGCCCCTTTAGAGGACTCAGAGATGATCATGTAGTCTGATTACTGAAAACACCTCAGATTAACAGGTACAACAGTAAATGTTCAGTTTTCTACACTAGGATTGAGTGTTTTTTATTTAATTTATTTGTTTTTTCAAATCAGTTGAAGTGTCCGTTTCTTGTTTTTGGCTTTTTTCCTGGCTGATTGGATATTTTGCAAAGGCTGCAGTAGTAGGGCTTCCTGAACTTCTGTCAGTGACTAAATACAGCCAGCAGGGGGCGAGAGAGCGCCGTGCTAAAGGTCATTCTTCCTTCAATTAGACAAAGAAGAACGGGAGGCGGGTTAGTCTGCAGGGAAGAAGAGAAGAAGAAGGGCTTCTTTTAGAGGTGAGTACGCTAGTTTTAAATGAATATTTGTGTTTTTTAAACTTTTTAATTAAATAAAAAGTCGATGTTTTTAGTTTAGATCCTGATTTTTTGTGCTCATTTACGTGAGCCGAGGTGGTAAAAACGTCCCGTTTGAAAGCTGAGTCACTTTCTTGCTAGTTTAAAGTTCATTTTTCCAACCCGAGCCCTTCACCAACCTTTCCCTAGTTTTAAAGTTCCTGTGTAGGTTCTCCTGCTGAAGTCTGGGTTCCCACCTAAAGCCTGCTGCTCCCGGGAGTTTTGCGATAAGATTCAGACCGTCCGTTAGTTGTTGTAATTAACGTGTCACTAGCTGTTTTGCTAATAAAATACCTCAGTTAGGACTACTCTGTTAATTGTTATGGTTTTGTATGTGTTCTGTTTTTAGTTCACTTTTCTAATGTTTTTTTTTATTCTAATCCGTTATTTTTTCCCACTTTTCCATCTTGTATCCATTTAAACCCTGAAGACAAAACCAAATAATTCAGTTTGAATCGTAATAACATTTGGTTATTAAAGCTAAAAGATGATACGTGTTCACAGGTGTTCTGATAAGAGGCCTGTAATGAGTGTTGGATCTTCCCAGAGAGCCTTTAGGCCTTGGTCTGAGTCCAGCTGCTGTTTGGAGAAGCTTGGACATGCATGCCTGCTCTTTTCCAACAGTCACTGAGCAGGAAAAACACATTCAGACTAAACAGACCTGCTTCCCCTCTCTGTGTGTTTTGTTTGTTAGATTTTAGACTAAAAGACAAAAGATGCAGACACCTGCAGAGTCGATCCTCCACAGCGGATATTTCCACCCAACTCTCAGATCCTGGCAAACCTGCGCTACCGATCTGAAAGCCGACAATCTCATCTACCCAATTTTCATCACGTGAGTCAAACGTTTCCATTTAATGTGAATGGGTCTCAATCCTGCGGAGTTCAAAGCACCGATCTGTGGTATTTTTCTGTAGGAAAGTGGGTTTTCTCATGAGATACTCTTGTTTATTTGGGTGTTACAGAGACAGTCCAGATGCGGTGGAGCCCATTGGGAGCCTGCCAGGACAGGCCAGGTATCTATAGCATCATGCACGATGATCCAGAGCCGCAGATGCACAAAGACATGGTTGCTATCAAGAGTTGTAGTGATGTTTTTGTGCCGGGACTCTGGTGGAAGAGTCAACTGGCAGTTTTCTGTGCTCACCGTGGGAGTTGTTCTCAGATAAAAGCGGTCAGGAAGGGCGGATCCACAGCCAGACGCTGGACCGACACCGAGATAAGAGAAGAATTCGTTAAAAACGACAAACCAGGACTCACATTTAGCGTGTGCCTGTTGTGTTACGGTGGCTCAAACAGCTTTTTCACACACTGAGACTCTTGAGTTGTAAAACATGACTTTTATTTTCTGCTTAGACTGTAGCAGTATTCAGATGCTGCTTAAGACTCGCTTTTGTTATGTTGAATGCTGAGTTTTAGATTTTATTTCTATTAAATGTCTCTTAATGCATTTTGGCGAGCTTCTGAGTGTTTTACAGGAGCTATATAATAACACCGCGACTGTAACTCCGTTAGATAAAATAGCCGTTTTTGTTTTTTTAAAACCGGTTTGAATGAAGTTCTCCATCTGTAGATACGGGGTGAACAAGCTGGAGGAAACGCTGCGGCCGCTTGTTGAGAAAGGCCTGAAATGTGTTCTGATCTTTGGAGTCCCGGCAAACATATCTAAGGTTTGTTGAAGTAAAATGAAAGGAAAAGCATTTTTATGACAAAACCTGATGGTTAAATGTTGGCCTTGAGATTTGGATTAGTTATATTTTACAGTTTTGACAGAAAAAGGAAAGAATTCACCTTTAAATGGATTTATGAGTTAGAATTTGGAGCCTGGTGTTATGTAAACAAAGCTCATTTCACCAGTTTAATGTTTGAGCTCATCTTTTTAAAACTGTGTTTCGTAAGAACCGAGCGGGTTCTGCACAGGAACCTGGTCTCCAGCGTTCTAACGCCTGAACTCCGATCTGGGGGACACGTTTCTGGGAAGTGGCCCGTTCCACAGCGCTGGTTCTTTGTGTGTTTCCTCATCAGGATGAAAAGGGCTCGGGCGCTGACACGGACGACACTCCGGCTGTTCTGGCGGTGAAAAAAATCCGATCTCTGTTCCCGGAGCTGCTGGTGGCCTGCGACGTGTGTTTGTGTCCCTACACGTCACACGGACACTGTGGTCGGTGGTTCTTTGTGAAGTTGACCTTTTCTGATGTCACACAGATAATCCGTGGCTCAAATTCAGCTCCTTGTTTGTGTTTATTTAGGAATCCTGAATGAAGACGGAAGCCTGAACAATGACGCCAGCTGTCTGCGCTTGGCTGAAGTTGCGCTGGCGTACGCACGAGCTGGTGAGTAGTTTAGTTTCTCCTTCTGGTACGATTGTTTCTGTTGAGTCAGACGTCTGATAACTCGTCTCTGCTGCAACATGTGGACACTGATGAATCCTCGCGGTTCTGCTGACGATCAAACGTCTACTGAACACTCTTTAGTGTTTTGTTTACAGCAGAATTGGGTGATATGACGACATACCGTGTTGATCACTGGCAAGAACTGAAAAATTAACACCAACATGTTAATCTGTTCAAAAATGTCATCTTGCCTAATTTTAGATTTTTTTTATTATATTTTTACACAAGAAAATAGTTTGAGTCGTAGATTGTTTGCAAAATAACAAAAATTCTAAAAATCAATGTAAAAAAGTGATAAAATTGCATTTTTACTGTAAAATAATGAGATATGATGTTTTTTGCCGTATTTCCACCCCTAGTTTTGTGTTTAAAGTATTTATAAAAGTTGATGCCCAACAGACGCTGATCAGATTATCTGATAATGTTGGTTTTAGGTGCAAACATTCTGTTTTTCATTTATTTATCTAGAAGAAGTTAATAAAGGTTGTGTTTTCTGGGCTTATATTTTGTCATACTGACACTCTGATGCAGTAACCTAGCCTGGCCTGTTTACGTCTACACAGAGAGCTAGTCTGGACGCTGTAGTTTTTTTAGCTGTGGTCAAAAATGGCGTCTGGCGACAGCACAAACATCTTCTTTAGTAGAAAGGCTTTTAGTGTTTCTTCTTGTGGTTTTAAAGAGCAAGTCGCTCCCTACCAGAGTATTACTCCACTCCCACTTCCTGTTTGAAAAATGCAACAAATGTTGTTGCCTAGCAGACCGAGAGGGCGGAGCCGCTAACAAATACACACACACACACGCAGGCTCATAACGACATTATGACATCATATGGTACCAGCTAACGTTCTAGGGTACCTCTTAGCCAATAGCGATGGCAGATTTAAATTCAAATGCAGTGCAGAGTTTTTACCTGACGACGGCACACCACTGACAGTTTTAGGCAGAAATTTAAGATTTTAACTAAAATGCACTAAAGTGCAAAACTATTGACGACACGTGTCTGCAGCACGTTTAATCACGCATTTATATAGTTTATCAGGAAATAAAGTTGATTTGGGGGTGACTTGCTCTTTAAAGACGTGCCCAAGTAATTTAGAACAGAGGAAAGAGCCGCAGTGAGCTCTGCTTCAGACGCCATGTTTATGACAAACTCGGCATCGTGGTGTGTGGCGTACGCTGCTCACCGCTGATTGGCTCAGTTCGAATTCTCAGGGGGTGGGGTTATTTGAATAGGAGAGTTCCCTGGCTGGCCGGGCTCGTGTGTTGGTAAAAATCTGGCGATACGATTTATTGTGATGATATTTGCAATTTTTAAGACTGAATTGAATCGGAAAGCTCAGGCTGGATGCTTCCAAGACACACCCAGTGTTCTCTGTAAATTCTCCATAAAAAATTATACACTTCTTTTAAATATTGACTCGGTATCATAATTAAGCAATATAACACTCAATGTCGTGCGTTGTTGCTGAATATCAGCGCTGGTGCGATTCGGCCGTAGATGATCACGCCAGTGCTGATATTCAGCAACAACGCACGACCTCTCGTGTGATGTTGCTTTTATACAACAGGTCTACCTGCTCATTTTATTTTTAGAACAACAATAAGCAACAACAGATTGTGATTTGTTCATTTAATCATTTATCAGGCTCCGCCCACACAAATAGTCCCAACACCAAACGGAGACTCAGACAAGGCTGTTGCTAGGCAACACAAACATTTTCTACAATAACGGTTGGAACGCCTGTGCACAGCGGAGTGATACTGTTTGTAAACAGTCCCAGTGCTGTTATAGTCCAATATCAGCACTCTTGGAAAGTCTCTTGACCAATCAAATCACCCGGTCGGAACTAACTGTTGTATAACTGGAAAAATCGCAATATTTCAGCATAGCTTTTCTACCAAAGAAGTAAAAATAACGGTTATAACTTATTTCAACTGTTGAGAAGTAATAGCATTCCGTCATATCGGAGTATCATAAATGAGGTTTGTCTAGATGCATGTAAACTATTTAAACTGTTGTTTTAATCAATCAATCAATCAAAGATACTTTATTAATCCCAGAGGGAAATTAGAGTTTCAGTACACACAATTCAGAGATCACACATACATGGGCAAGACACGTGACAAGAATTGGTGACTGTGGTCATTCGCAACCCTGAGTCGCGCTACCTTAATAGAGATAAGAGGGTTACATGAGGATTGGTTCAGGTGGAGGGAAAAAAGGCACTAAAGAGTTACCCTCCACCAGGAGGGCAGCTTTGCTCTGCAAAAAAAACCACCTCAGACAGATATGCAACAGACTTCAGACAACACAACATAAGTGTCCACTAGGTGGGGTGGTGGGTTGGGACTATCCCCACTTCAGTTCCAGCAGCCACGATAAGCAGCGCATGTCACCTCAGTGTGGATGGGGGGGGGCATTGAGGGTTGGAGGGTTGCAGTGACCCTGGAACGTTTCAGCGGCCTTTCCGCAGTCCCGCCCAGGCTGGGATAGGAGGCAGAGTTGAGTTGCCATAGCGACAGCACATTCCACATATCTTCTGAGGGGGGAGTTTTCGTTGTAGCCTTGCAGGCTCAAGGGCGCCAGATTCCGATTAGAAATTGTTTTGGGGCCAGACAGATAATTTCCTCTCTGTCTTACAGTTTGTTGGTCCTCAACCTCTCAGAATCCCAATAATGGACGTTAAACTATCCCAATCCGTGCTGATTCGTCCACTCTCTCCTTGATGGCATCCATCTTTGTGCCAAAGAATGACAATCTTGACCAAAGTCCCAAGCTTACGATTCATTTAGACAATTATGTGAGTCTGTGAATTCACAGCGCGGTGCAAACCATCTCTGAGCTCTGGGATCAGGCCAATATTCCTCGACAGCTCGTTAATTTCCCGACAAGCCAGGTAGCCTCCAATGCCGATCAGCAGGAAACCTGACGCCAACACCACGAATATCCACACGTCTTCTGAGTCCTCCACAGACAGCTGGTCTGTCCCGGCGGGACATCCGGGAGCCCCTTCTCCCGTTCTCATCGTTGAAAAAATGTTATCAACCGCGTTGAGACCAGCTGACGAGATCCATTTTAGTGAATTTCAGTTTCCAGAAAAAATGCAGAAGCAGCCGTGCACCCAGCACCCACAGGCAGGCAACGGCCTTGAGGATTAGATATGGAGGAGAGGAGAGGAGAAGCGTCTGCACCCGCCAAGAGCCGGAAGAAGAACAGTCTTTAGTTGTTTTCTCATTTAGACACTTGGTTGCTGTACTTTTTCTGATCTGATTTAAAGTTGCTTGAGCTGAGTCTGAATGTTCGTGGCTGCAGGTTGTGACGTCATCGCTCCGTCTGACATGATGGACGGGCGAGTGCGAGCCATAAAACAAGCTCTGCTGTCCAACGGGCTGGGAAACAAGGTAAAGAAGCCAGATTGGTGCCGCAAATCCTTTAGTTAAAAATAACAACACGGTAAATGTTGTTTTTCTGAACTTATTTAGATGCATTAGAGCCGTTTAAAGTCAAAAGAACAAACTCATGAAACGCTTCCAGAATCCAGTTTGTGATTTTCTCCTCCAGGTGTCAGTGTTGAGCTACAGTGCAAAGTTTGCCTCTTGTTACTACGGTCCGTTCAGGTAAGCGAACGCCTGTGGTTGGGTTTCCGTCGTCATGGAACGTCTCCAACGTCCGTTTTCGTTCAGGGACGCGGCGCAGTCCAAGCCGGCGTTTGGAGACCGACGCTGCTACCAGCTGCCTCCTGGAGCCAGAGGACTCGCCCTTCGAGCCGCGGTGAGTCGGCTTGCGTTTGCGTTCGTCGTCAGGGTGATGACAGCTGGTGATGACGTCATCGCTTTGTGCTGCAGGAGCGAGATGTGAGAGAAGGAGCGGACATGCTGATGGTGAAACCAGGTCTGCCGTACCTGGACATCGCAAGGGAGGTCAAAGACAAGGTGCACTGTAAAATCTGATTGCACACTTTTTTCAACAAAGTGGAACCACACTCTAAATTATGAGTACTTGGAGCTAGGTATTTATGTTGGAGCTACTGATGCTTACAAAATAAAATCTACTTAGATACCGGTTATTTAACTAACACAAACTAGTACAAAGTACTTAATGAACTAGTATTTGAGTTACTTCAACAGTAACAGGGTATCTACGGGTCCTTAAAAAGTCTTAAAAAGTCTTAAATTAGCTTTTCCAAATTTAAGGCCTTAAAAATTACAAATAATCCTTAAATTCAGTTTCCAAAGGTCTTAAATTACCAAAAACCCAATAAACAAGATTCTTTTATTTTTGTAAAATTTTCGTGATTTTCTAGTTAGTGTTCAGCATTTTTTGTATACGATGTTGCCGTAAGCGGAACCGTACACATTCAGTTGGTTGTGAAAGGGGGCTATTTTTAGATGAGCACATTAGCTGGTTAAGCTAGTGGGAGCTTGAGCCATGGGGAAGTTTAATGGTAACTGGATGGCTAATCCCACGTTCGCTACGTGGTTAGCACCGGTTCCAGGCAATAGCTGGAAATTATAGCTTAATTTTAATTAAAAAAAATAGCTTAAATTTGGTCAAAGTGGCCTTAAAAGAGGTCTTAAAAAGTCTCAAATTTGGCTCCCTTAAACCTGCAGATACCCTGAGTAAACTAAGCACATTTTTAAGTACTTTATACTAGTTAGTCTGAGTTCAAGTAACGCACATCTAAGTGTATTTTACTTTGTGAGCAGGAAAATGTTCTAAGTTATTGAAAAGGGATTTTGAGGTGAAGTTTTTATTTAAATTGTATTATTTTATTTAGCTTATTTTTTACATTACCCATTAGTTAAACCATATTGTAATTCTCTTTAGTTTTTAATTATTTTTTTCCTTCTTCAAATATTTTTCCGTTTGTTTTTTCTCATTTTTTTTTAAAGGGAAATTTATTTTATTTAGTTTTTGATGCTTTATTTTTTGCAAAATATCTCAAAAAATTCTCGCTGGTTGTCATTTTGAGTCCTAGAATCTCTCACGTGTCGCTGGAGATTAGAACAAGTCTGAAAACATACCAGACAAGTCTAAGGTGGCCAGATCCCAACTGGCCAAATGTGGGACGTGATGTTCCAATGTAATGAGAAAAAACCAAAAACAAAAGGTATATTCTGCCTTTTAGCCCTAACATCACTGTTACATATACATGAAGTTATATTCTTATTATCATATATTTCTTGTATACATTTTATCTGAATTAAACAGGAACAAGCAAACAGCAAAAGCTTTACGGTTCCACAGTTCCTCTCACGTTACCACACGACTCTGTAATGGCTCTGATCATTTTAATAACAAAGATCGGCCCACAATAATAAAAACATGCAGGTTTAAGCAGCTTTTCAGAGTTTTCATTCAATGTTTTCCACAACAGAATGATGGTAAAAGTACCAGTAATAGTTTTTAGATCTATTTATGTTTGTTTTTCATTCATTTTCCACTAAAATCAGCATCTCGTTGAAAAAATATCCACTTTTTTGCTATTTTTTCATAATTCAGAAACAAAACGTTTTTTTAAACGTGACGACAAATCTCTTTTAGATTTTAGGTGTGAGAATAAATAAACATCAGATTATAATCTCTAAAAAATTCAGATCTAATCTAATAAAAGTTTCTTACTTTTTGCCTCAAAATTCTGAGAATAAGTGATGAAAGCTTCATTTTCTCATTATTTCTTCACTGTGCTTTAAGGGGCTCAGCACACAAGTACCCCTGATGGCAGTACGCAGATCAGGGTGGGCGGAGTCAAATGTTTGACTCCGCCCACCGCGCCCCGCCCCGATCTGCGTACTGCAGTCAGGGGCTACTCACTCAGCATGTAGCAGGTATCTGAAACCGCAGCACCGTGTCTGTGTTAGAGCCTCCATTGTGTTTATGGACCTGTCTAATTCCTGGAAAACCTGCTTTTGACCTCTTATATCAGACTCCGCGCCGAGACATGAAGAATGACTCAGAAACAACAAAGAGTGTCGAATATCTCTGAACACGTTTAATTCACGAGTTTACAGCATCTTCTCCTCCGTGCTCACTCACGCGTGTTTTGGTGGTTCGGGCGCGCTCCACGCACGCTCCGGATCTGCCATAAAGCCCCGCCTCCGTTTGATTGACAGCAACAGGCAGATTTCTCCACAGTGTCTTCTATAAGGTTGAAACTCGAAACGGGAAACTGTCAATAATGCGGGACGTGTGAAAAGTACTGAAAGCGCGGGACATCTGGTCACCCTAGTCAAGTCTCCAAGCTGTCCCAGACTCGTCTGGCTTTAGTTTACAGGAGTCGGGAAAACGCGAGGCGATTTTGGGAAGCGAACTAAACCAGGAAAATCGGATAAAGACAAAAAACTTGTACAACTCCGCGTGTTTGTGACGCCCCGCATGGCCACCGTGACGGATGGGAATGTTCATCTTTGTGACCGCGAGCAGCTGGGTCTCATTCACTCTAACTTTATTGACAACCTGGTCTCCAACTCGTCTCAGACTTCTCACACCTGCTGATGGTTCCAGACACCCACAGAGTCCGAGACTCGAGTGGAAATTCCAAATTTTTCGAGATGTTCCTGAAACTCTCCTAGGTGTCTGTAGTGAACAACCACATTCCCGCTTTAATGACAGTGTTTTCCTGGTGTTTCCGTCAGTTTCCCAACCACCCTCTGGCGGTCTACAACGTGTCGGGGGAGTTCGCCATGATGTGGCATGGAGCGAAAGCTGGAGCGTTCGAGCTGAAGACCGCCGTGATGGAAGCCATGACCGCCTTCCGCAGGGCAGGTGAGGCGAGATGCCACTGGGGGGGGGGGGGTGATTTCAGCACCCCGTTTTACATTAGCTACACGTGCTGCTCACCACTGCACCCCCGGCTCACCGGAGAAATGACTGTGGGGGAGAAGAGTACCTTTTCAGTTTGAATCTGTCAGATTTTTGATAAAAGTTTTATTCATGTGAGCCTGGGGGTTAATCAGCTTCAAATACGTTTAATTCAGTTGTAATATCAGAGTATTAGACCTTTTTACAAGTTTAAACATCAGATTTACAGAAAACCCAAACAAACGTCCCTTAACAGCTGAAACCAGGGGTCCAGGTCCTCGTGAACCTTCTCAAAACTCCAGAAACACGGGGCTAAAGTCCTCTGACTCGCGTGGAAAATAGTCCCCAGTTCGCGTCCGCCTGCTGCTCCTCTGTGAGATCCTGGTTCATCTGCAGAATAAGCCGAATAATCCGAGTCACAATCAGCTCAAAGTGTTTAAACCTCGACGGTGAAGCTTCACCTTTCAGGAGAGAAATGTTATTGAATGATTTTCAGCAGAAATCATTCAAACTTCAGACAAAATGTAACTGGATCAAAAGCAACAGTAAAACTTTGGATTAGTCGTATTTTTTTAGTCGTTGTGAAGAAAAAAACCTGAAGGTACTAATAATAACATGTTACTCTCTTTGACATTGAATGTGCTACTACTAGTTTACCCGTTTAATCATAGATTCACTAGAATAAAAACAGTGAAGTTTGAGAGAGAGAGAGAGAGAGAGAGAGAGAGAGAGAGAGAGAGAGAGAGAGAGGAGAGAGAGAGAGAGAGAGAGAGAGAGAGAGAGAGAGAGAGAGAGAGAGAGAGAGAGAGAGAGAGAGAGAGAGAGAGAGAGAGAGAGAGAGAGAGAGAGAGAGAGAGAGAGAGAGAGAGAGAGAGAGAGAGAGAGAGAGAGAGAGAGAGAGAGAGAGAGAGAGAGAGAGAGAGAGAGAGAGAGAGAGAGAGAGAGAGAGAGAGAGAGAAAGAGAGAGAGAGAGAGAGATCTGCCTTCTCCATCCCCAGTGAGTCGTGGAGGATGGCTGCTTATACTGAGCCAGGACCCTCTGGAGGTTTCTTCCTGTTAAAAGGAAGTTTTTCCTCTCCACTGTCGCTGCATGCTTGTTCAGTATGAGGATTGCTGTAAAGACTCTGACACTAGTCAGTGACTCGATGCAACCTGCTGGGCTCCTTATATAGGAAACTTTTTACTGATTGGCTTACTGACCTGACCTGTGTTGTAATGATAACTGTGTGAAGATCCTTGAGATGGCTCTTGTCGTGATTTGGCGCTATATAAATAAAGTTGAATTGAAGGTTTGTTTGTGTTTACCTGTTTTTACAGAAATCACAGGTGAGCGTAAACATCCATGACTTCTTTAGTGTTTAAATGAGGCAGCAGGTGGTTCAATTAAAATCAGAGGTCAAAATCAGAATGAATGGTTTTGGTTTTACTTGTTTGTGTCTGATTTGTGATGCAGGTGCTGACATCATCATTACCTACTACACACCTGAGCTGCTCACCTGGCTGAGAGAGTGAAGAATGACGAACCTGCAGCTCTGATTCAGTTCATGTGGTCTCGGGCTCATTTATGATGAATGTTCAACGTGTAAAGATGATTTTCTGTAAGATGAATATAAAACAAGTGTTTTTATGGAAGGTGATTTCAATGTTGGAGCTGCCTGAGAGGATTTGTATTTTCTGCTGAAGATGATTTTAGGAAAAGTGGGAATAAAGATTCTAAAGATGTTTCATATGGAATATTTTCTCAAAAACAGAATAAAAAACTTTAAAATAAAACGTAGAACAAAAAATTTCACCAACATTTTTACTTTTACTTTAAGTTTTAATTATTAAAGTAATTCTGTAAAAGTTCAAACCTGAATGATTACACTTTCTACTTTATAGTTTAGAATATAAATAAATATATATCCTTGATTTTACAAACTTGGTTCAGATTTTTTTTGCTGTCCTATAATGAACACCTCAAATTCCACTGTAAAAACAAACTAGGAGACCTTTAAGGGTCAGAGGTCATGAGACTCCGCCTCAAAACCAGTTGCTCAACCCTCTGCCTGAAGGAAGGAGGCTGACTAGAATGAGCTGGATCTGCCGTTTCATCAGAAATAAAATAACTTATTTCTAAACGTGACGGTAAAACAAACCGATGATCATGACGTCACAGTCGGGCCTCAGGGCTGAAAAGTGCAGTACCACATACAGCCACTAGAGGCGTCTTCTGACAACTCATGGCTCAAACATATCTTTCCTTCATGCTTTAAAAGTCCAATTTACTAACAAATATGATTTAAATAACTAAATAACATAAAATAACTTCCCTCTGATTGCTGCAGTGTTAAAGTCTTAAAGTCATTTATGTGATGGCACCATCTAGTGGCTGACACGCATATCACATGTTTCCTTTTCGTATTTGCAGCCGAAAGCAACGCCTCTCGTTCATGACCCGCTCCTCTATCTAAAACCTGTTGTTTTACAATCTTGCCCCTGAAGAAGAAGAAGAAAGTATCATTTCTATATCGTCTCTCAAGATAAAAATCACGAGGCGCTTCACAAAAACAAATAATGTAAAAATACAAAAAAGAATTTAGAAAATGTTTAAAAATGTATTTAAAATGAGCAAAAATGGACAATTGTGATAAAAAAATGTTAAGAGAGAGAGAGAGTGAGCAGGAAAGAGGGAAACCAGTGGATCCTGAGGAAGGTGGAATAGGTGGGGAGAGCAGAATAAAGAGAGAGAGGTGAAGAAGGTCAATGCTCCGAGTTGGTAAGAAGGCTAACCATGAATTACAACAAACTACAAAAGTTAGGGTTGTAGGAGTTAAGCGGGCCATAACTAAAGCAGTGAAAACTGGTAAAATGAACTTCAATGAATTACAAAAAACAGTGACGACTAAAAGTGGAGAACTAACAGAAATTCTGTATTTTGGGTAGATAAAAATGCTAACCAGGTGTTACTTGGTGCAAGACGACTGTAACTAAGGCAGTAAAAGCTGGTACAATGAATGGCAGACCAGAAATAAAGCTGTGAAACTGGTACTAAAACTACCAGATCGGGTAGGAAGGCTAACCAGGAGTTACTAAGTGTAAGGTGACTAAACCAGAGCAGCACTGAGTGGATTACTAAGCAAGTGAAAACATTAATTAGGCTAAAGGCGGAAGGTGGCTAGAACTAACGCAGTAAAAGCTGGTACAACGTACTACAAACATTGATGATTAAAATTAGAAACAAACAAATTCATTACTTTGAATAGGTAGGAACTAGGCCAGGGGTGTCAAACATGCGGCCCTCGGGCCGGATCTGGCCCGCAAGCAGGTTAAATCCGGCCCGCGAGATGGTTGTGTAAACTTTATTTTCATACTTTACAATGTAGAGTTAAAATAAACTTATCTTTGTGAGCAAGTTTTCTCTGTAACGAGTGTAAATAAAACAAAGCTGCGCTCAAGGCTCGCACAAGAACTTGAATCACATCCTGAAGTTGGCCGCCACTCAGGATGTGACTTCTGATATTGATGTGCTGGTGAAAGCTAAAAGATGTAAAGAAAAATGAGTCAAATATACTTTAAGTGCTGCATGAAACTGATCTAGCCATGTGATCTGTAATCTCTTTGAATCACTAAGGAAAGTTTTTTTTATTGATTTATTAATTTTTATTTCTTTCAAATTTTCAAGTACACTTCAGGTGTTGTACTTGTACTATTTTGGATACACTGTCCTCAGGCTGCAGCCTTGTTTTATAGTGATTGTATTAAAACAAAGAAAACAATCTGAAGTTGTTTTTAATTTACCGGTCCGGCCCACTTGGGACTAGATTTCCCTCAATGTGGCCCCTGAGCTAAAATGAGTTTGACACCCCTGAACTAGGCTAACCAGGAAGTGTGAGGTGCAGAAAACTAACGTCGTATAAACGAGAGATAACAAAAAGTGGTCAGTCGGAAATAGCAAAGTATACGAAAGCATTGATTAAACTACTAGAACTAACAGTGAAACGGGTAAAATGAACTACAAAAACAATGCTGGACAAGACCTGGAAGACTAACAGAATATCAGTTAAGCATTGAGTAGTGTTGAGTTGTTTATTTGCACTCCATATAAGTTCATGTATTCATGTTTGTTTATTTTGTTCTCATTTGTCAAAAGTCCCTTGCTCCGCAGTTTTGCTTTACCTGTTGTGACAACCAATGAGATTGCTTTCAGCACTGCATAAAAGACGTGACTGGAATAATAAACTCCGCCCTCTTGTGAATGGAAGCTGACGTGTCCGTATGGTTTGGTTTTCTCCGTCAACCCTGATGATGACAACCTGGGAATGTTGAGCTCTGCTAACAAGTAGTGAACTAGCCAGCCAGGAGTTACTGAAAAACATTTATTAAGCTAAAGGTGATTATTATTATATAATTATTAATAAAAAGCTACAGGTGTGAGGTGAACTAGGAATCTTAACATAAGGAAAAGAGTAGCAGACCAAATACTGAGCCCTGGGGCACACCACATTGGAAGGAAGCCTCCTAAGGGCAGACATCACCAAACGCTGACAGACATGGTCCCATCAGACACGTATGATCTGAACCAATTCAGGGCGACTCCCCTTAGGCCAACATAAACTTCCAACGTTAAAATAGAGCGGTCAACCGTATAGAAATACAGTTTCACCAGAATCCGTAGCCAGGAAAGTGTCATTAAAAACGTTATCAGTGCAGTGCGCCTCCGCCAGACCTCTCTTTATGACACTAAACCAAACGTTTATTTAGAAATAATATTATGAAGCTCAAACCGTAACATTTTTTCTGTAATAATTCTCCTCAGCAGGAGTTTGAGCGATTTGACTAAAATCGTTCCAACAGCAACTCTAACTGCGATTTTCACCTAAAACTGGTTATTTTAAAACTTTTAAACTAAAACAGTGAAACAGCAGGACAGAAACAAAAAATAAACACGAGATTAGAAAAATAAAAACGATTATAGATCAAAGTAAAAAAAAAATAAACAATGAATTTTTAGCAACCTATCAGAGAAAAGATAAAATAGGTGCAGATTTCCATTGTTTTAGAGCCTGTTAAGTGAAACGGAATCAAAAAGGAGTGAGGTTTTAGGTAAGAATGAACGGGTGGAAATATAGTCAGGCAACAAAATCGGATGAAAGCATTAAAGCTTTGGTTTAAAGTTGATCAGCCAAACAGTGAAGACAGCAAAATAAACCAGAACAAATCAGATCGATTCCACAAAAAGACAGATAATGTTTTATCATTTTAAACATTTTAAACATAAAGTCAAAGCAAACAGGAAAAAGCTTTGATTACAAATCTTTATTATTCTGTCCTTTTTTTTTTTTATCAGAAAGACTCTTGGTGCAGAGCGTGAGGCAGCCTGCAGGGGGAGACTCGTTCCTGTACTTCTCTTTTATTTCTATAGACTTTTTAAATTCGCACACAGTAAAAAGAAAAAGCTGAATTTTAACTCGGTTTGCTTTAAATCTTGATTTTAGAAGCAAAAAAGTCAGATTTTTTTTAGATTTGCTTCATAATTTTTGGGAAACAACATCAGAGTTATTATTTAAATTCGGCGTGCTGATCAGAGAACAACAACAGTCAAATATATTTAGTAGCTCCGCTGAAGCTGACAGGAACTCGGAGGTTCTGGTCCAGGACCTGGAGAACCCGTTCGTGTCAGTGTGACGTGTGTAGGGGGAGGGGGGCTGCTGTGATTTAAGCCCCAGCCACCCGGACGTTTGTTATCACTCTGAGGGAGTCTGGCACCGGAGGACCGCGCTGCACCGGGAAACGCGCTGTGGAAACTACAACTCCCTCTAAGGTGGATTTTACGCAGCGGGACGCATGGCGCAGACCGGCACAGCGGGATAACGCCTTTACCGACTCTCGGTGACTTTAGCAACAAACAGCAGGACCCCTCTGGTGTGGAGTGACCGATCCGTGGCCGGCAGTGCCTCCTCTCCGCGCTGTGCGCCCTCCGTGTCCGTGCGTCGCTCTCCAGGACCAGAGACATGGGATGCAGGAGCGCGCTCGGATGCTGCCTGTTCGCAGCGCTGTCCTGCTGCCTCCTCCGCGGCTGCAGGAGCAACATCACGGTGGCCGTGATGTTACCGGACGACCACCAGAAGTACCCGTGGGCTCTGCCGCGCGTCTTCCCGGCCATCCTCATGGCGCACGAAGACCTGGCCGGTAAACACAAGCTGCTGCTCGGCCGCACCATCCGGATCCTGAACTACAGCACGGAGGACCCCGCCGCGCGCACGTGCGCGGTGAGCCGGGCGCAGGTGCTGGCCGTGGACGCGAAGCTCTACGTGCGCCCGGATGTGTTCTTCGGACCGGGTTGCGTGTACCCGCTGGCCTCCGTGGCGCGCTTCGCGTCCCACTGGAAGTTGCCGCTGATCACCGCAGGAGGCCCCGCGCACGGCTTCGACGACCGGGTGGAGTACCGGACCATCGTGCGCAGCGGGCCCACCACCACCAAGATGGGGGACTTTGCCAACGCGCTGCACACGCACTTCAACTGGACGTCCCGGGCCGCGGTGGTCTTCTACGACCTGCGGCAGGACGACCGGCCGCACTACTTCCTGACCGAGGGCATCTTCTTCAACCTGGACCGGGAGATGAACGTGACGATCGAGGCCCGACCGTACACCGACGAGACCGACTACAAGGAGCTGATCGCGTTCATGCAGGAGAACGGGAGGAGTAAGTTCAGCAGAGCTCCACTTTCTCACCCTCAGAGCCCAAAGTTCAGCTGCTGATGGGCTTCTGTTGACGTCACCGGTTTAAAATCACAACAGCAGAAACGGATCTGAGCTAAATAATAGATACTTAATAAATCCCTCCTCACCATGAAACGTTTCAGCTTAATAAAACCACCTGAAGCTGAAGCACTCTTTACTTGATGGTTTAAAAACACAAACATTCACTCAGAAACAAGGAGCTGGAGGATCCAGAAGGCCTCAGCTGGAATATTTGTGCTGATTTGTGGAAAAGTTGCAGACAGCTGCAGAGATGGTCTCAAACAGGCTCGTTTCTGCAGCACTTTGATGAAATCAGCTTTAAAACTTAGGTTTTCCCCTTAAATCTGAGGCTGATTTTGATATCCAGAGATAGCTTGTGAGCACAGAAACCCAGAATGGAGGAAACATCTGGAGGGAATCACCTCTGGAAGCAGCTCAACGTCTCCATGCTTCCAGACAGCAGGCCCGGCAGCGTTCCGGTTCTCCTGACCCACTGTAACACGGAGAGGGCGATCAGCTGCTGTACAGAGCTGGAGGTCATATGAGCTGATGGGTTTGTCCGGGCTTGTCCTGCCTCGGCATTCCGCTCGGCTCTCCTTCATCCCAGCAGAATTCCTGCAGGCAGAAAAAGGCAGGAAACGTTCAGACGAAGCTAAAGTTCGTGCAAAATTCACCCAAAACACATCTTAGTTTTCTGGTGATGTTTGTTTTTCCTGGTTAGGAATGGCAGCAGAGTTTGTCAAAGGCTTGATTCCCAACAGACAGGAATGTTTTCCAGTTTTAAACTCAATGGAAAAAGAAAGAAAATGCCGGGCTCAAATGATGCACCAACTTTCTCTATAAATCTTTTTTTTCCAGGACATAACATCCAGATAAAGTCTGGAATTTTCTGTTATTTACACACAGCAGCAGAAATTCCCTCCTGGTGATCGAATTTGCAAACAAGCGCCCACGCTGCAGGGAACAGAAACACGGATTCAGAGGAAAATTCATTAATTTAGCTGCAGTAAAACCCGCTAAAATCAACTCTTCACTCATAAAAACTCATCTGGTCTGAATTTTAAAAAGTCTACATGATTTTACAACCCTCACACGTCTCAGAACATCCCATAATTTACCTTAAATGATAAGGTAACGTTGCCTGGTGCAGTGTTGCCTTTTTAAACACCACTGTTTCCCTGCTGCCACACCTGACTTAAATGAATGAGTGGTTAACGGGCATCTGCAGCACTTGATGTCCTCCTGAGGAGCCGACGTAATCCTGGTGTGCTGAAGCAGAGACATGGAAAACCTGAGGACCAGGGTTGGGAAACATTGGCCCAGTGAGGGAAGCAAAGTTTTTTATTAAACATTAAAATACCTTTTTGAAAACACAGAATAAACACATAAATACCAACAGCTGGATGGTTATTACATGTTTGTAACAGACTTGAACTAAAAATGGATCCGGCCGTTTTCCGTCAGGATTTGAATCCAAAGAAAATGAAAAATACCACCTTAGAAAATTCTTCCAGATGATTTTCCTTGTTTGTAGACAGAAAGCAGATTGGTGACTGAATTAGACCACGTTTACATTTAAACTCTCGATATCTGGATGTTCTTTTAAATTAAAGAGCAAGTCACCCCCAAATCAACTTTTTTTCTGACAAACTATATAAATGCATGTCTGATCATGCTGCAGACTGCAGGAGCTTAATTACCAGGAGCATGCATGACTTTCCACTGGTGTAATTAAACAAGGCTTAATGCTACAACACAAAGATGTCGACTGGGACACTGAAACTATTTTATTTGAGCACAACGTTTAAACTGTTAAAGAGCAAGTCACCCCCAAAACAACTCATTTTCTCTGATAAACTATATAAATGCGTGTCTAATCGTGCTGCAGACACGTGTAGTCAATAGTTTTGCACTTTAGTGCATTTGAGTTAAAATTTTGAGTTTCGAGCTCACCCGAAACTCTGGCTGAATAGGACCCACACCCACCCTCAATGTGTTTATGTAGAAGATCATCAGGGGGTCTTTTGTTCCCTCTTCGGGGGGAAACTCCCACGGGGTTTAAATCTGGGATTCTCCACCATTTGACCTTAGAACTGAAGAAGCCTCTCGGATGAGAGGTGAAACGTCTTCAAGCAACTCAAAGAAGTCCAGATGCTTTTCTTTCAAAGCTCATCAGACTACAATGACCTGGATGACTGAGAACGTTCACAGACAGTTAAAATTTTAATTTTCTGCCTAAAACTGTCAGTGTTGTGCCATTGTCAGGTAAAAACTCTGCACTGCATTTGAATTTAAATCTGCCATCGCTATTGGCTAAGAGGTATCCTAGAACGTTAGCTGGTACCATATGATGTCACAATGGCGTTGTGAGCCCGTGTGTGTGTATTTGTTAGCGGCTCCGCCCTCTCGGTCTGCTAGGCAACAGCATTTGTTGCATTTTTCAAACAGGAAGTGGGAGTGGAGTAATACTCTGGTAGGGGGTGACTTGCTCTTTAAGAACCAGCTTTGATGCTTTGTTTATGGAATTTCAGAAAAGTTAATAAAGCTGGAGCTTCAGATCCATCCCTGATTCCAGAAGATGTGAAATCTGACGTGTGTTTGCAGGAAAAATGCTGTGATCCGTTTAAACTTTCTCCCTAGGCTGTGATCCCTATGCACAGCCTCGCATTGATTTTAATAACTTTAATGTACTTAAGGTCTGAAGTCTGTGCAGTAAAAACAAAACAATGCACGTACTGGACTCGGCAGATCCTCCATCTTTGATGACATGAATCGGTGGTGGTGGGGGGTACTGTGCATTAGATGATGAAACTGTTCTGAGGATTTGTAGAGGTGTGAGCTTCTAAAGGCCACAGCTGGAGGAGGCGTGAGCCTTCGAGCATCAGAGCTATAAAAAAACCGCCTCATCACCCCGATCAGGTGTCTTTAGCCTCGTCTTAAACCCGCATTAGCAGGAAGCCACGATCCCTACAGATAAACACAGAAACAGATTCAGATTGAATGTTGTGAGAAAGACCCTGGTCCAGGATCTGCGACGGGACGGAGTGAGAAGGTACGGCATGAGGACTGAGACATCCAGCAGCTCGGGTTAGACCCACCTGCAGTCCAGATCCGCCTCCCGAAGACGAGGAAAATCAAAGCTTTTATTGAAGAGAGGTGGCAGAATCATTTTGCTAAGTGGCATCAATCCTCTCACAGCCAAACGCATCCAAGTTCATTCAAATCAAGGTTAATGGAAAACGAAGACAAACAAAAACCTGAAAGCAGCAAATTCTTTGTCTTTTATTTCCATTAAATTCAATAAACTGAAGATGGTTGGAAAGAATTTGCGTTGCTGAATGAAAATCTAAATAAAATTATTTAGTTTTTTTAACAATATAAAAGTTTACGGATTTATTGACACAATTCAGTCCTATAAAGGTTTCCATGCCTCCCATCACCTTTCAGTAGTTTCATGTTAGATGAAGGGTCGGTGTTGTTCCAGCAACTCCCCTTTAGAAAAAACACAATTCAAAGGTCCAATCCCCCTTTCTTTAGGCCCCGCCCACAAGCTATACTGGAAAATGGCGAACGCAACAGAAACGTTCCACTACCAACTAGAGAACATAGTGTTATTGTACTTTTTGGACCCGTTGGCACCTTTTCTGCCATAATTCCTGATGTAACACACCTACGAAAGCCTCTGGGATTCTGACACAGTCTGATGCTGGTCTGGAGTTCTCGCGACTCTGTCCCTGTCTGAAAGGTTAAGAGAAAAAAATCCACTGGGACGTTTAGACATCCAACTGGGAGGACTGGGATTATTAAGAATTGTTTATGCTTGACGCGTCCGCGAGGTCCGCACGTCTCCGCACGGCGAAATTGCGTAATTTTAACAACCACGCCCCTCCACCGCGCCTAGGAAATTTTCTAACCACGCGGACGGTCCGACGTGGAAAAACATGGCGGACCGGCAAGAACTAGTACGGCAGAGGTTGGTAAATACAGACATTTGTATGATTCAGCTCTCAGAGATCACCGTGATCAACATGTTGTTAATAATTCTTGGAGAGAAATAGCTCGCACTGTCGGAAAAGACGAGGACGCTGTTAAAAATGCTGGAATGCCATGTTGTAAACAACAGTAATTTTTACTTCTACTATGGTGTAGTGTTGGATGCATGCCGTAGAGCTCCATGCTGCTCCCTACGGTTTGGGAGAATATTGGCTCACCGCAGAGACGAGCCACACGAACCATAAACGCTGCGAGTTGTGAAGCGCGTTCCATCCGCGAGCCGCATCACCAAGCGGAAAGTGAATGCATCAAGCATAAACCAAGCTTTACACTGGAACCCCCCTCTGCTACGTCGGCTCAGGCTATGTAATCGTGTAACAATTTAGCAAGCTAGCTAATGTAGCTAGCCCGGCTCAGGCTTCACTTCCTGTTCAGCTGCTCCAAGCTGAGAGCGCACAATTTGTTCAAAAGAAGGGTATGAGCAGAGGGACAGCTAGAGGACAGCCTGATGGATAGATCAGGCTCCAACCATTAAGGACAGGATGCTCAGTGATTGGCTGAGATTTGTTTTAGGATTTTGTGTTTCAGAGGCAATTCAAATTATTCCTTATTTTGACATAACATTTACTTAATGGTTGCCATATGAGAATCTTTCATGCTATTTGGTAAAAATGCTCCAGAAAAACATGGATTTATGTTTGTTTTTGTCTAATCTAAGAACCCCTGGTGACGGATACAGCTCAGCTACAGGATCAGCCCAATAACCATTAAACTGACTTACAGGTGTTAGCTTAGTTAGCTGTGGCCACCATCTTTCATCGGGTTGACTCTAAGGGTGTTTCTCAGTGCCAAGGAACCTCGCCTTGATGTCTTGGCCCCGGCCCGGTTGCCTAGGAGATACGTCATCGGGAGCCGCCAAGATGTGTTCCAATGTTCATGTTCTACCAAGGCTTGTGTTCTCCATTTGTT